GTAATTAGAAGAATATGTTAGTATATGTGAAAATCAATAAAAATATTTTTTTTAAACAAGCACTGGAAAGAATGCCCTTTGGTTTCAATCAAAGACAGTTTGTTATATTCTTACCCCACTATTTCAATCAGCTTTGCAGACCCTCATTGGCCATGAAACGCACTGGGTGACCTTGGGCAGGTCTCACTCTCTCAGGCTCAGAGGAAGGCAATGCCAAACCTCCTCTGAACTATTTCTTGCAAAACAACAACAAAATTCTGACCATAAGTCAGAAATGGCTTGAAGGCACACAACAGCATGGAGATTCTCACAGGGCTCAGGGAGTTCAAGAAGAAAAATAATGCTATTTTGTTTGTCACATTCTAATCAACCTCAGAAATCTACTTGTAGATGTTTGTTTAGAAGCTTTCTGGTGTCAGGTGAGTGTAATAAGATTAGATTGTTTTTTAAATCCTTGGAACAGAACTATGGGATTCTCCTCCAGGAGTATGCTTATTTTGGCTGTGCTTTCAACTATGATGACTGTGAAAACTAGAACTTCTGCCAGTAGTAGGAAGAATGACAACCATTCTCAGTCTTTTGCCCATCCCTGCTGTTTAATTGATGGGAAAGGAAATACGGTAATCATAATTTCACCCTACCTCCCAGAAAACTATTGTAGCCTGTGTGGTAACCTTCTGTGTCCCTGATGCAATGCTTATTCTTTCTCATAGTCATATTGGAGAAAGAAGAGTGACAGGAGCTCTGGCCAAAGGAAGCGCTGTTTCATCCTGTGATTTCCATCATGTGGCCTTCTGGGCTTATAAACCCCTGATCTGGAAAATTGCAAGGTGGGGGAAGAAATCCAAAGCAAAAGCAACAGCATCCTGGGATGCAAAATAAGACTATATGCACTTCATACAATCCTTTGGACACAGAAGCTTACTTGTTATGAGGGAGTCATGGAGGAGCTGGCATTCTCCATCAGTGCAATTCTACATATGTTTACACAGATGTAAGTCTAACTGAGTTCAGTAGATCTTACCCCTAGCTCTGCATGTGTAGGGATTGCATCTCTGAAATTAACTTTGGCTCCTTTCCTTAAAATCTTCCCAAAATCAATGGCCAGAGAAAGTGAAGAAATCTTGAAAAATATAGATCTGGAAGTTTGTTTGCATTCATTTCATTTCTTCCTCTTGCCAACATTCTCCCACCTCAAATTTTGTAACATATGACAATACAGATCTAAGACTGATGTGTGGCACCTATTGATTTCAACCACTTCTGAGTGAAAGGAGTTAAAGTAGGAAGGAACAACTGTGTTCCAGTTTCCCTTTTCATGCCATAAGAAAGTGATGCTTTGAAATGTGTAGAGGAACCTGTTTTCCACATTTTGCTGGAAACACAGACATCAGTTTGAATGTTACAATTGATTCATTCAACATTGTGCGTGTGTGTGCGTGCACGCGTGTGCGTACAGGGTGACCAGATGTCATAACAACAAAGGAGGGCAAGGCAGCACAAAATGTAGGACATTCAAGAGAAATGTATGGTGTTGCAAATGTATGGTGAAACCTGAAAACAGTAATATAAGTATAAATTCATGCTTCTTAGTCATGCTCAAAATGGAGGACATTCTGAAATTCCTCCTGAGCAGAGGATTGAAATGTAGGGCATGTCCTGGGAGGACATCTGGTCACTGTGTGTACAGAATATCATTCTCGCTTATCATTCCTAAGTAGAAGATAGTACAAGCTGAGCAATGTGATCCCTGATGCCTCTTCTTTTCCTGAACCCTGCTTGGACCTCTGGGATTTCTCTCTCCATGTATAGTTGGAGCCTATGATGCAGAATTTTGAGCATAATTTTGCTTTTGTGGGAGATCAGGTCCTATAGTTGCTGCAATCTCTTGTATCTTCTTTTTTGTGGATGGGGATATATATCGATCACTTCCAATCGGTTGGCCATCATTTTTTCCATATCCGTTGACACATGTTGGTTAGCACTAGTGTTGACTCTGTCAATGTGGATTGCAACAATTCTATTGGAATATCATCTGTTCCTAGAATCTTGTTTTTTGCCATTTCCTTTATTGCAGGTTCCAACTCAGTTTTTAGAATTTGGGGGTTCATCTTCATATGGCTCTTTGCTCCCTATGTCCTTCATAGCAGGGAGTTGCAAAAGAAAATCAGCATGTGCTTTATAGACTACAGCAAAACCGTTGACTGCATAAATCATGAAAGGCTATGGAACGCCCTTAAAGACATGGCGGTACCAACACATCTGATAGTCCTGATAAAGAATCAGTACTTAGGAGAAGAGGCTACTGTCAGAACAAAACACGGAGAAACAGAATCGTTCCCAGTTGGCAAAGGAGTCAGACAAGGCTGTATCCTTTCACCCTATCTGTTCAACCTGTGTGCAGAACATATTATAAGAAAAGCAGGCCTGGACACAGGAGAAAGAGGAGTGAAAATAGGAAGGAAGAAATATCAACAATCTGAGATATGCAGACGACACCATAATACTAGCAGAGAACCTCACAGACCTGGAACAGCTACTAAGGAAGATCAAAGAAGAAAGTGCAAAGGCAGGCTTACTGTTGAACACAAAGAAAACAAAAATAATGACCACAGAGAACTTACACACATTCAAACTAGACAATGAGTAACAGAAATAGTAAAAGAGTTCTCATATCTGGGATCAAACATTGATAGAAATGGGGACTGTAGTCAGGAAATCAGGAGAAGATTAAGAATGGGGAGGGCAGCTATGAAAGAACTAGAAAGGATCCTAAAATGCAAAGACATGCAACTGAGCACAAAAGTCAGAACCATACAAGCCACCATATTCCCTATTCATGTATGGATGTGAGAACTGGACAGTTAAGAAAGATGATAGGAAGAAAAGCAATGCATTTGAGATGTGGTGCTGGAGAAGAGTGCTGAGGATCCCATGGACAGCCCAAAGGACAAACAAGTGGGTCCTAGAGCAGATCAAACCAGACATATCCCTAGAGGTCAAGATGACAAGACTTAGACTGCTGTACTTTGGACACATCATGAAAAGGCATGAATTGCTGGAAAAGACAATAATGCTAGGAAAGGTGGAGGGATGTAGAAAGAGAGGAAGGCCACATGCTAGATGGATGAACTTTATTAAAGAGACCAGGAATATGAGTTTCCAGGAGCTGGGCAGAGCAGTAGATGATAGGAGGGTCTGGAGATGTCTCATCCATAGGGTCCCCATGTGTTGAGATCAACACAAAGCCAGTAAACAAGAGTAACACAAGCTGAGCAGTGACTTCCAGTGGTCACTGGCTGGAATTGCAGAAAGCAAAACTAAAAATGAATCTATAATTGCTGGTCTTGATCTTGAAGTACCTGAAAATCTGAAATGCCATGGTTAGAATATATAAACCATATAGCAGGAATGATTAGCTCTCAGAAATTTGGACTGGACTAGAAATCTTCCTAGTGTTACCCAAACTTTGATGGTGGTTCTTGAGGTATTCCTTCAGAAAATTTTATCTATCATCTTGGCCTCCTAAAGCCAAGACTGAATGCTGTTAAACAAAATACCCGTATGAAATAAAGGTGGCAGTGCTTCCATCAAAATACTTCAGGTAAAACTGTAAAACTAAGCTCTTTCAAAAGTAAATCAGGAATAGGGAGAAGATTGATCTCTGGCTGATTTATGATAGATTATTTAATATTTCCAACTTTCAGTGTGTAAGAGCAGCAAAAACAAGAAGCATGTCTTTTCTCCTAAAGAACCTATTGATGACTGAGACACAAAAGACATAAGGCAGGGGTGAGGGCCTTTTGGTTCTTCAGCAATTTTGGACAACAGTTTCCAAAATCCTGTGCCATTGGCCATATTGAGAATGTCTGGAGTTGTCCATCCCTGACCCAGGACAACTGTTGGGGACATCTAGCAGAGAGAATTCACATATCTTAAAAGCAGTACAACCAGTCCTTCTCATATTTTTCTAAAAGTTGAGGACCATATTGACCCCACCCCCATGAGACCTTGGAGTATACATTTCCCCCTTTCTTCAGATTTATTTTTATTCCTACAATGTCAATGTCACCACATGAGTTGGGGGGGGGCTGTTTTAGGGCCAGGAGTGGCCTTTTTGCAACTTGGAAAGTTGAAGTTACCAGAAAGTGATCTCCTGGGACCCCCAAAATAGCAGAATTCCCCTCTTGGCTTCTGGGGGTCACAGGGGCATTTGGGGCCTTTTTTATTTTTTGACACAAAAAGTTGTTTGTTTTTTGAAGGAGGGCTGCTAGGAGACTCAGAAACAGCCTTGGGGATTTCCCACACCCTGGTATAGTACCAAAGAGAAAAGTTAAAACAGTGGAGATAGAAACTACACTTA